AAAGCAGGCCATAGATTCATTGCCATCTCTATTAAAATACCAATAGCATTTTTCACAGAACTCTAATAATCCTTAAGTTTGTATGGAACCACAAAAAGACCCCAAATAGCCATAGCAACCCTAAGAAAGAAGAACAGAGCTGGAGGTATCACAATTCCAGATTTCAAGATATACTACAACGTTGTAGGCATCAAAACAGTATGGTACTGGCATAAAAACAGAATAGAGGGCCCAGAAATAAACTGACACTTACATGGTTGATTAAAAGCAAGAATATACAGCAGGGAAAAGACAATCTCTTCGAAAAATGGTTTTGGGAAAACTGGACAACTACATGCAAAAGAATGAAACTATACCAACTTTCCAAAATAGATTGAAAACCTAAATGTGAGACCTGAAACCATAAAACTCCCAAAAGAAAACATAGGCAGTAATCTGACATTGGCTTTAGTGACATTTTTCTAAATACATCTCCAGAGACAAGGGAAACAAGAGCAAAAATAAACTATTGGGACTACATCAAAATAAAAAGCTTCTGCGCAGCAAAGGTAGCCATAAACAAAATGAGAAAGCAACCTACTGAATGGGAGAAGATATTTGCAAATGATATATTCAATAAAGGGTTAATATCCCAAAATACATGAAGAACTCCTATAACCCAACACAAAAAAACAATCAAATTTTTAAAATGAGCAGAGGACCTGAATATTCATTTTTCCAAAGAAGACATACAGTGGCCAACAGATACATGAGAAGATTCTCAACATCACCCATCATCAGGGAAATGAAAATCAAAACCACCAGGAGATATCACCTCACACCTGTCAGAATGCCTGAAAATAAAAAAAGACGAGAAATAGCAAGTGTTGGGAGAGGATGCGGTGAAAAAGGAACCCTCATGCACTGTTGGTGGGAATGAACACTGATGCAGCCAGTGCTGAAAGAGTATGAGAGTTCCTCAAAAAATTAAAAACAGAACTACCATATGATCCAGTGTTCCAGTCCCTGGGTATTTACCCCCCAAAATGCAAAAACTCTAATGTGAAAGGATACTTTGACTCCTGTGTTTATTGCAGCATTATTTACAAAGCCAAATTATGGAAGCAGCCCAAGTGTTCATCGGTAGATGAATGGATAAGGAAGATGTGCTGTACGTATATCCAATGGAATGTTACTCAGCCGTAGAAAAAGAATGAGACCTTGCTATTTGCCACCACGTGGATGGAGCTAGAGAGTATTATACGGAGTGAAATCAGCCAGAGAGAGAAAGACAAATCCTATATGATTTCACTGAAATGTGGAATCTTGCAAACAAAACAACAAAACAGATTATTCAAAATATAGAGAAGAAAATGGGGATTTCCAGAGGGGAGGTTAGCGGAGAGATGGGTAAACTAGACAAAGGGCATTAAGAAATACAAACTTCCAGTTATAAAAGGAATCGATCACAGAGATGAAAAGTACAGCACTTGGAACACAGTCCATAATACGATGCTGTTTGGCGACCAGTGGTTACGACACTTAACCATGGTGAGCACTGAATAACGTAAAGAATTAATCATTACGTTGTACGCCTGAAACTAATACAATAGTTACACTGACTCATGATTCGTGTTACTAGTCAAGGGAAAAAGGGAACTTACCTCCGATGAGAGATGCTTTGTCTTGGTTGCATGTGGTCATTTCAGGACCTGGTTTATGCCAAGTGGATTAAACACGGATTAAAGTTGAGTCTATCCATAAGTATACATAACCCTCTGATGCTCTCAATCAGATTGTTATCTACTGCCATCTAGCTAAAATAAAACAACAGCCCATTCCTAGAGAAAGTATACGGGCCTTTTCCATGCTTGTTTTAATTGAAATGACACGCATGTCAAGGCATAATTTATTATTTTGAAGAGCTATTTAGGGCAGTGATTTATTTCTTCAAGCAACTTTCTGTTGAGAAAACAAGCTTTCATTTTTGTTTTAGATCAAATTTGTGTTGTCATTTTCAATTCTAATGGCAATTTTTCATTTTGAGTCACCCTGATGCTATGCTTTGTGACTGCTTTCCAGCAGTGTATTTCAGAATCCACAAATTACCCACATCAAACGTTTAGCGATGAAGCTGTGTTTCCGGTAAATACTTTGTATGCATACATTATGTTGAGTTATCAGCTAACATGGAAACAGATTTAAGATCATGTTTTCGTTTAATTTTGAAAACCAGTTACAAATATGCTTATGTATGAGGGAGAGTCAAAATAGAGTTTTAAAGGAACGGAAACCAGCTTTGCAGAACTCTCCAAGTTCCAAAATGGCTCAGAATCAGAGAAACCTTGACACGAATAAACAGAGCTGTCGAGAACTCAAGACCCAAAGGTGTAGGTTGGTGGTCAGTTTACTTTATGATGAAAATTGGAAGGCAGTAAGAGAGTCATTTTTGCCTGTGCATTTGTGAGAAGCCTAGACAAAATGAAAAGAACGGAGATTAACATAAGACCCTTCAGAGCTGACTCATGGCAGTTAGCCTTGGCAGTGAGAGGCAGCAAATACTTACACAACAGTGTTAATTAGGTATTACGGACCCCTCAGTCCCATCTCCAGAAGACTTCCGACCTGTCTGTATCATTCAGCTTTCCTAGATTAAGACACAGCAGCTAAAGAAGACTGTTTCAGTTCTCAGTTAGAATGGCTAATATTTATCAGGTACCCAGTTGTGTGTCAGACACTAACTCTAAATATATGCCTCAGTTATTTGTATCCTTTCCACAACTCAATGAGTAGTTTCTATTACAAGCCCCATTTTGCTCAAGAGAACATGGAGACCGAGGGAGGTAGAGTTAGTTGCTCAAAAGTAAGCAAGTGAAACCCAAATTCGAGCCCAGGATTCTTGCTTCAGAGTCTACATTCCTAACTTACAGCTCTCCCTGATGAATGGGAATCTGTATTAGGATTTTTTTTTTTCATCTTCCTGCTAATGGCCGACTTATTCAGAATATGAACATGAATACCTTTCGGCCGAGATTTCGTGAGCAGTTCATCTCTCATGTAAGTGTTCACTTTCCTTACAACATTTACAGTGTATTTGTCCATTTGGTTCCATTGACGAGTGAATATTAAGGAAAACAGATACATTGCTCAGAATCACAACTACAGAAATAATCTCTTCTTCCAGCAGCAACCAAGAATTTGTAGGGTTTCAAAACAGCCCACCTGAATCACAGCTAGACAGTCCCAATACGAGGAAGTAATCAATTTTCGTATTAAAACAACGCATGCGGGGCGCCTGGGTGGCGCAGTCGGTTGAGCGTCCGACTTCAGCCAGGTCACGATCTCGCGGTCCGTGAGTTCGAGCCCCGCGTCGGGCTCTGGGCTGATGGCTCAGAGCCTGGAGCCTGTTTCCGATTCTGTGTCTCCCTCTCTCTCTGCCCCTCCCCCGTTCATGCTCTGTCTCTCTCTGTCCCAAAAATAAATAAACGTTGAAAAAAAAATTAAAAAAAAAAAATAAAACAACGCATGCAATGTGAAATATGACAAAGCTCTATTCCCTGTACTGCCTTGTTTTGGCTCAGCCATGGCTTTGCAAAGCTGTCCAGTGAGGAAGGACTGGGGTCATATATGGCACTCAGTACCGTTATTTAGCAAGCACACAGTTGTATCTGCACACGATGCTTACTACTTACTACAAACAACCTCTCCAGTGAAAGAAATCTGTTGCTCTTATTTCAGGGCAAAGAAAAACGACCTGCCAGGCACTACCCCAACCCCCTTGTCAAGATGCGGAATTACATAGTGTTTGCTCTGCAAAGGTAGTTCCCAGTCCAAAGACAATTGCAACATACAACCTGTTATTTCCCAATATAGATGCACTTATCAAGGAAACTTTTTCTTGACCTTATAAATTCACAATTCAGACTTTGTTAAAGAGAGACACTAGCATCTTTGTAGTTATATTTAAGATTCTAGGGGCGCCTGGGTGGCTCAGTCGGTTAAGCGTGCGACTTTGGCTCAGGTCATCATCTCATGGCTCATGGGTTCGAGCCCTGCGTCGGGCTCGTCAGAGGCCTGAAGTCTGATTCAGATTCTGTCTCCACCTCTCTGCCCCTCCCCTGCTTCCTCTTTCTCTCTTTCTCAAATATAATTTTTTTTTTTTTAATTAAAGAATTTCTTGGAAGAAAAAAACAGCTAAAGTATAAAGTTTCTGCTATGGAACCAAGGAGCTAACCTTAGATGCCAATGTTTTTTTTTTTCTTCCCTTTATTGTTATTTCATTAAATAAAGAGAGTGAGGACAGAGAGTGTGAGCGTTCTTTGCCAAACGTAAGAATCAAGTTTACTAATCTAAATTCCCTTCCGAGTACCTTTTTCCTTCTACTTATCTCTTTGCCCCATCTTTTCTAGTAAGAAGGCAGTAGTGTGGGACATGGGTGTTATTTCTCTTGCTGGCAAAATTTTGGAAAGCAGACTATGTAGCTTGTGATATATGACTGCAACACAGCATCACAGCTCATTTCCAAAGTGGCTCTCTGGAAGCATTAACCTTTTTATTCATGCTCTTATGAACCGTGTCTGTATTATTTAGGAAGATTCAAAACCAAGCCCTCTAAAAATAAGTACGACTGAACCCATAAACTTTTGCTTTACCAAACCCAACCCTTGGTAGACAGCTTTAAAATAGGCTTCGTCTCCTCCCTGTCCACTGCTGTGTCTCGTTAGAGGATGGGGGGGGGGGTGCTGGGAAGCTTATCGAAGGAGGTATGACGCTGAACTCCGCCTCGGTGCTTACGGGAGGGTAGAGTTAACTATCTCATTTGTCAGGGCAAAGCATTCCTGGATGTGGTCTTCAAGGGCTTTTGAAAACCCAAGGCAGCACCCATCACATGGCATTTGGCCAGAGGACATTGGTCTCCAGGGTCAAAGTTTGGCACAGGAATATAATGAAATGAGGACAAAATAAGTAAAACCCTATCAGAGAAACGAACATCTTGTACACTTTCATTTTCTGTGTCTCAGAGGTTCGTTTGAAGATTCTACGACCAGATTCTACACCGCGTGTGTGGTGGAAGCCTTCGCCTATCTGCATTCCAAAGGAATCATTTACAGGGACCTCAAGCCAGAAAATCTCATCCTGGATCACCGAGGCTACACCAAACTGGTCAGTGCCCTTTACGCACGGTTTCTGCCCCACAGGTTTAAAACCTCTGTTCATAAAGCTGTGTTCATTTCCTAACATCAAAACCTCCCTTTTCCTTTGTAAATGCTATAACTTTTCTTAAGAGCATATCTTTGCATTATTGCTTTCAACTCTTCTTTCAAGTGATGCAAAAGTTGTAAGAAATTAAATTGGCTAGGTCTTAATTAATACTGTCTTGGCAGGATGTGTTTAAATGGACTCGGACCTGTGGACACGTGTTCATAGACCTCTAGAAGAGCTTTGTAGACCTTTCTCTTGTCCACTTTCTGCCATTCACAGGGAATGACTACCTACATCATAGAAAACCATGAATCCTTTTAACATTTTAGATTTAAGTACAATCGTAACAGGAAAAAAAAATCGCTTGCTAGGCAATGTTATTTAGACCATTTGAATTATAGTAATAGTAATGATCACAATAATAAAATCTGTCAAGCGCTCTAAAGATTTACCGTAGGAGGGAAGTTCTGTTATAAAACGTACAATTTTTGTGGACGTTCAATCTGTCAGTGCCTGGCTATTTTTTAAACTTTGGGACTTTTTATTCAGCATATGGTTTTCAAGGAAATCAAATCAATGGCTGTTCATTATTTGTGTTCTCAACCAAATCGTTTTGGAAAAAAAAAAGGTTTTCTGCATTCGATGCTCCTCCGTCCAGAAAGATTTCTAGAAAAACGAAGGACTCATTTGCATTGTATCTCTGTTTATGTGTACTCGGGGCAGGGCTACATTTTGTTACTAGGTTCCTTGAGCAGTGCACTGGCTTCTCATTGCTAAATGAATTGTCTGCTTCCTAAATCCAGCAGAAATCATGCATATTCTGGAAAATGTGTCAAGTAGGTCCACCTAGACTTCTAAAAATTTTAAGTAAAGGGGTTATGGCCCGACCTCCATGGCCAGGAAAGGAGGAAGAAATGGAAGCTGTTTCTGGAAAGAAAGGTTTACCTGTATTTCTAATGATGTGAGTTTCAGCCTATACTCAGGTTTTAACTTTTCCTATTACACTGACTTTGCTCAGGGAGGCTTTGTTTGAAACACAGATGACTCCTTTGGGAATATAGGACTGTAGTGATATGCATCTGTTTTTATTATTATTCCGTGCACTTCAGCTAAGTACCTTACTGCTTTTCAGCTTGAAAATAAGTAAGTGCCTTGAAATAACTTGTTTTTCTCTCTTTGTAAGGTTGATTTTGGCTTTGCAAAGAAAATAGGATTTGGAAAGAAAACATGGACTTTTTGTGGGACTCCAGAGTACGTGGCTCCAGAGATCATCCTGAACAAAGGCCATGACATTTCAGCCGACTACTGGTCACTGGGAATCCTAATGTATGAACTTCTGACTGGCAGGTATGGACATTGGCATAGAATTGCTGATAAAAATAGATCAGCCAACAGCTGCACGCTCCTGCCTTTGTCACTCTGATTAGACCATCTTAAAGCACATTTCACCATATCTTGGTCCAGCACTTCAAGTAATTATGCAAGTGCCCAGGGATTCGTAAAACAAACTCTAAAATGGGTTGGATGAGGGCAGGGAACTCGACGTCAACCTTTGCCCTCATCATTACGAATTCCTTGTACATATGTGAGAATGTGGAAAAAGCTAGTGTCTTTCTGTGAGATCTCTGAGCCTAGTTGCTTAGCCAGCAATGAAGCAAGGGAGGTAATAGTGGTATAAAAATATCTAGGGTCAACTATTTATAGAGATAAGAGGACATGTTGACAAGTATTATACCTAAATGAAACGGGAATAGTTTGCAGGTCTTCTGCGTAATGCTCTTAGAGCCATCAGCAAGGAAAAGAAGATCCCCAACAAAAAGAGAAGCAAACACCCCACCGTGCCGTGCATGGGGGACAATGAGTAGTAGGGTCATTATAAACCAGAGTTCAGAAGAAGGCTGGGTAGAGGTCTCAGACATACAGAGCAAGGAAAGGACATCCCATGGCTTCACTAGAAGGGCAATAGGGGGCAAAGACGTGGAGAAGTTGTGTGTAGAAAAACTTACTGGGAACCTGAGGGCTGCCTGACTAGCTTTAGCACAAGAGAGAGAGAGGCCACATAGATGACAAGGGATACAGAGAGAGTGGGGGAAACAGGAACAGAGGGGACCCCCACCCCTAACACCACGAGCTGGAGTGGGGAGGAACGTACAGAGAAACGGTGAGCGGGTGCATCTGCCCCGGGCACGGAACCTTAAGTCATGGCTTAAAAGGGCAACTTCAAATAACAGAACCAGCCCTAGAACCCTGCCAAGTGGTGGGGACTCCCTGTAGTCCTCAGAAGCTGGCAGGTACCTCTACTTATGTTTCCCCTCCACCTTGATAGTACAGAGGGGAGCAGAGCCCAGGCACCATAGCTGACTTTCCACCACAGGGAGCCCCAGCTCCCTGACCCTAGATGTCCCACCAGTGTGGACACCCTTGGTCAGTGCTCATTATGACTCCAGCCATCTCACCAAGGTAAGACAGGCACAGAATACTCTAGACGTGCCCTACTTTGGCTCTCCATGACTTGCCAAAACAACCCAGTGTCAAGTGCCCTGGGACCCCTGGCCCATGCCCACCTCAACTCTTGCTGTCCTGCCAGGGGGGCCTCTGCGTGGAGGGCCCCATGACCCCTGGCTTCTACCCACTTGAGCTGTCCTGCCACTGGGGCCTTAGCACAGACAGCCCCAGAACCGCCCCAACAGGGCGGCCCAGGATCCAGAGCCCATGACAGCTACAGCTCTGTAGAGCCAGCCAAAGTCAGCAGGCAAACACTGTCTACACAGGGATGACCATACGGAAGGTCATTCCCTCGAGTTTAGGAGAAGCAGCTATTCTGTAATTCGTCGAAACAAAGTCGATCGAAATGAGGAGACAGGGGAATATGGTCCATATGAAAGAACACAAAACTTCAAAAAAGGTAAGTGGAGATAAGCATGGGTGAACTCTGTGAGAACTTTAACAAAGAGAAAACACCAAGAAAAGAACCAGAGTTGAAGAATACAGTAACTGAAATGTAAAATACACTAAAGGGAGTAAATAGTGGATTAGAAGAGAGAAGAACGGCTCAGTGATCTAGAAGACAGAGCAAATGGAAAGCACCCCAGCTGAACAGCAAAAAAAAAAAAA